TTGCTGCTTACGAGACGGGCGTCATTACTGAAGTACCTCCTCATATCTGGAAGGTAGGTCCAGTCCAAGCCTCCCAGGACCCCGTCTTGTCGTAAGGGCTTCCTCGCGAATCCTTCCTCCCGAGTGGTGTTTTCTTGGATCCGGCCTCTTCCTTTCAAGAGAGTTGGGGCTCTCAGTTAGTCCACGAGGGCAGTTACGAAGACCTCGCAATTAGTCCCGAAACGGTTGTAATGCTCCGGCGGGGCGGTGTCACTCGCCCTGTGGTGGTTGCGGCTTCCACCCGGTACCACGCCCAACTCCTCCCTTCTGGACAATGCTGCTCAACTCCAAGCGGCCATGCCGCCCCTCAACGACATGGCGTGTGGTTGGGGAGAACAAAAGAGACTACAAAAAAAAGAATGGCTCTCTCGCCCATTTGGCTCCCTCACCCTTTGACGTTTAGGCGTTCAACACGAGGCGCAATTTGAACTTCCCGACTAGAGCTCGTTGTCGGGGTCAGTTCCGGACGTCCCGCACCGATCCAAGTGGTAGGTGCCTTGGTCCTTTAACCCTCATCCCCTTACAAGAGGAACAGGTCACGCTGAGACTTTTTCCCTCACAGGGATAGAGGTCTTAGGGTCGCGGTGCGAGCACTGGTATCCCTCTCCTGCTGAGGCCAAAGACTAGAAAAAAGAGAAATCCATTTCAATGCTATTTCCAATTCCATTTCAAGTTGCCTAGGTCCCCTGCCTATGCAATGCAATATTCAATCCTCAATCATTCAATCCAATACTATTTCCAAGGCTGATTCTCATGGTTGGTCTGACAGCCTCTCATCAACAAGGCCACCCCCACGGCCGGTCTGGCGGTCATTCTCTCAATAGCCATTTCTCAAGACTGACCTTTCCGCTCACTCAATCCTCAATTTTCTCATTCCTCAACACCCAATTTTTGTGACTGTCCCAACGGTCTCTGCCCTTCTCGGCTTTAAAGCTCCGCCTTCTTTATCTTGTCCTTCTCATTCGCATTTTTCTTCCGACCCCTTGGCAATTTTCAGTGGCCGACCCACCGGCCTTTTCCATTTCCTCCATTCAACTCATTGGCTATTTCAACGACCGACCCACCGGCCTTTTCCAGCTCTCTCATCCATCCTTTGGTTATTTCAATGACCGAACCACCGACCTTTTCCATTTCTCTCATCCCATTGGCTATTTCAATGACCGACCCACCGACCTTTTCCATCCCCCTCATTCATCCCATTGGCTATTTCAATGACCGACCCATCGGCTTTTTCCATCTCTCTCATTCATCCCATTGGCTATTTCAATGACCGACCCACCGGCCTTTTCCATCTCTCTCATTCATCCCATTGGCTATTTCAATGACCGACCCACCGGCCTTTTCCATCTCTCTCATTCCAGCTCATTCTCAATCGACCTTTCTCAATCAACCTTTCTCAATCCAATATGCAGGGGACCCCAGTGCCTATTTCAAAAGGAATGACCCTTGTCAGGGGCCATTCCCGAACAACCTGGTTTGGTTCGTTCTTTTCCATTCTCAAGTCGAATAACCTGGTTAGGGCCATTCATTTCCATTCTCAAGTCGAACAGCCTGGTTAGGGCCATTCCTTTCCATTCTCAAGTCGAACAGCCTGGTTAGGGCCATTCTTTTCCATTCTCAAGTCGAACAGCCTGTTAGGGCCATTCCTTTCCATTCTCAATGTTAGTGTCCGAGGGGGTGGGCCTCGAGGTTACGGATCCCATTTCTGTCTTGGAGGTTAGAAGGTGGCCATCTCATCTTTTCCGTGCTGTTCTCTTTTTTCCATTTCTCACAGTAATGTACCATCCATTCCATTTCTCACAGTAATGTACCATCCATGCGTACATCCGACTTAGCGTCTAGCACTCGAGTCGGGGCTTGCGACCCCAAGCAGCACTAGCCCACCCGGTCGTTCATCCATAACAAAAGACAAAAGCGCCCCTTCCATTTTCACTCTTCCTGATCTCTCAGGTCTCGGCTATTCTCAGTCTCATTCACGCCCCTTGACCCATAGGTTCCCTAACCTTTCTTGTACTCGACCAATCATTCAATGCCATGGTTTGCTCGTCAATCCGTACTCAAGGTTTTCCCCTCTCAAAAGCATAATCCTTGTTCCATCCAAATTTCACAATACACCCTCTCCCAATTGGTCTCATCCCAAATCCCATGTCTTTGTCTTAGGTACCCAAGGTAGCTCTACTGAGTTCCGTTTCTTTTTTATCTTTCTTTTTTTGGTTTAGTTTGCGGTTCTCTATGACCGGCATAGTGTTTCACGATTTTATGTAGGTGACGCAGACGTTTCAGGATTTCTTTTTGTACTTTAGATCGAGGTTCTCCATCACCAACGGGTGTTTGACTCTATGTGTCAGATGTATTCTGCTATTATCCATGCTACACTGATTTGTGTTTCGGTTCAGATATTATCTCGACATTTATGGTGTTCCTGTTTTATGGATGATGAGTGTCGCATGTGTTGGTTTATGATTTCCACGTTGTCATTTCATGTGTTTGATAAACCAATGTGTGAACTTGCATTTAAGTCCATGAATGATGAATGGAGTGACAATTAGATAAGTGTGTGTATGTGTCTCTGTGGGCGGAGCGTTTGGGGGATGGGGGATTTGGGGTAGGTGGGCCGACGGGGTGCGGGTGTCGGGGGCGGAGCGGTTCGGGGGGTGGCGTATCGATTTTTTTTTTTTTTTACGTTAGGGGGAGCGGCCAATGGGGTGTGGAGGCAATGGAGTGGGGGGGATGGAGGGCGTGGGATGGGGTGGTGGCGTTGCGGTGTAGGCGGGCCGACGTGTGGGTGCTGGGGCGGAGCGGTTGCTGGCGTGGGTGGGGTCCGTGGTTGGGGCCTTGGGGTGGGTTGTGGCTGGATGGCAGGTGGCCGGTGTGGGGGTGGGGGCGGACGGACTTGCTGGTGGGTCAACAGGGGCACGGGGTGGGCGGTCGGGGCATGGCGGCCTTAATTTTTTTTTTGTCACATATTGACGAACGCCGCCTACCACCCTGTAGGCCCCAGCGTGCCCGCACCTAAACCGGGCCCGCGTTCAATTTTTTCACGCCACGTTGGACGTGTCGCGTTTGAACGCGATTGAACGCGGCCCTGACGCATTTAAACATGCGCGTTTGAACGCGACCGCACGTTCAGCGCGTTCAAACGGTTACATAGTTTGTAAGTGGGTTCGTGCACACCCAAACCACCTATGCATCGTACCGCCCCCATTTTTCGGGAAAAAAAAAAAAAAAAAAAAAAAAACAGTTAACACTCGCGTATGTGCCTTACCGGCCCCACTATCGCCCCCCCCCCCCCCCCCCCCCCCCCCCCCCCCCCCACATCAACCAATTCATCCCCGGAAACCTCTATATCTTTTCAATAAGTAAAAAAAAAAACAAAAAAATATTAAACAGTTAACACCCACCTATGCGCCTTACCGGCCCCACTACCCCCCCCCCCAACCCCACTAACCAATGCATCCCCATAGGAGCACCACTGTTTAATAGGGAAAAAAAAAAAAAAAACAGTTCACCATGAACCGCTGTCGCGCGCATTGGTCCGGCACCACACAAAACGAGGCAGGACCCTCCCGGCCGTGTCACGCAGGAGTTGGTCTTATCCTCGTTGGAAATACACATGGAGCTTCCGCAAGCCGCTCCGGCTGAGTGCGCCAGCCATACCTCTCGCGAGCCCCTACAACAGGATAGGGCCTATGTGAGGCACGACTTACCTCCACCTTACGGGAGTTGTCACCTCCCTTCGGTGGGCGTATCCCTGTCGAGCTACCAGTCCACAATAAGAAAGCTAATCAATTGCAACTGCAGAGGTGGACCAGCCGAGAGCGTTTCTCGTTCGTTGTAGCATAAGGGGTACGCGCGGTTTTTACGCCTCTATCGGACCCGCACGCGAACCGACGTCTCGGGGGGCTGAAGTCCCAAGCGCGACCCGTCGTCGGTCGACTAGGACGCATCCCACGCACCACTCGTACACCACTCTAAGAACACAAAAATTAAAAACACGCACGCACACGCACTTATACAGAACGACGCAGAACAAACAACGCGACAACACTCCTAGTCCCTTAGTAGCCATCCTATAACTCTTCGATGTGGAAATCGGATAGGCAACTCGCGGGAGACTTAGTATAAAACCGCGCGGACGCAGGGCCTTCCCATATCGACTACCAATGTATGAATATGCAAGCAGTCGTGATGATGGCGTACTATGCAGTACCCATCCTCATGCGGTCCTCGTTAATCTCGAGGGTCGCATTCGACACTCAAGTGTCGGCTGACACGCGCCTTGAGGGAATGATATCTCGACGCTGGACAACCGCCAAGTGCGGTTGGGAACCACACCCTCTTTTGCACCCTGCGGAGAGTGGGTGGTATACAGGTTCTTACCTGTGGTGGCAATCGCCTCTTATAGCCCTGGACACCATCCCCATCATCCAGGGGCTGGAGAAAAGTCAAGGGGTTTGACTTTGACGGCTGCCACGCACTACAACATCCAACTATAAAAATTAACAAGCAAAATCAATCAGTAAATAAATAAACATCCAACACTCATATATCCAAATCAGGACTCGAGATAAAATAAAAGAAAAGGAAACATAACCCATCAGATATACAGATCGTGCGACACATGGTTGTCATTCTCACTGCCTCCAGACTAGGGCTCGCACACAGGCTTCGAAACACCAACTTGCATAAAACATAAGCACAAACGAATGCCACATTGCCATACACCAATGTGGTCAACTTTACTGCTCCCTATAAATCACACCATGCCTCACATAATTAAGCCCCAACCCTTGTTCAACTTTCCACAAAATCTCATCAGTTATTTGTAATGGTCATTAAAAGAAGTCCGGTTAAAACCCTCAAAGAAACATATCAAATCTCAGGGCTAAGGCATCAAGTTGAGGTACAGGTATAAACAAAGTTGTGTCGTGAGCCGATAAGTCGACGATCAACTAACCGACCTGTTATCAGTGATAACAGAAGATGTTCCTCGTGGGATCAAGCTGAATCTAGTCCAGATCCTGAATCGAAACGTCCTCAAAAGGACCTGTAACACAATACAGGTCAATGCCCAAACTAATAAGCGTACGAAGAATAAGTCCCCATGTCACACTCTCACTCAAAATCTTCCAACTACAAAATTTGAGTCTACCTCTAAGTCAGTGCCCAAAGAAAGGTAGACCTTTGACAGTATCTCCCCCATACAGAGTGGATTACCAGAATCGTTACCTGTCGAAATATAATCTATCTCCTTTAAACCTGCGTAGCACGGCAAACGTGTTCGCGCCCTTCACGTTCGCGCAAATGTGTTCGCACATTCGCGCGAACAGCTAGCGAACATGTTCGGGCGAACATAATTTTTTTTCGTAAAAAAAAAAAAAAAAAACAAATTGGTTTTCGGGTTTTAGGATTTTTAACTCATGATTGGTTACGAATTTGAACATGACTCCAAGGCAAAAGTTGCTTGTATTATTGTTTTACATAACATATAGTTTTTCCAGATTTTTATGAGAATTTTTTTTTTTTTTTTTAAATATTTTTTATGTTCGCGTTCGGAGGGTTTTGGGCACTTGTTCGCGTTCGGAGGGTTTTGGGCGCTTGCTCGCGTTCGGGCGAACATGTTCGCGTTCGCCTCCGAACGTGAACACGGTGCTACGTAGCTTTAAACTAAGAATATTTCGGCAACGCTTCCCGTAGGAAAAGTGTCATTCCAGAATTTATAATAACTCAAATATCAAAATAAAAGCAATCTCTAATTCTGGAAAGTCAAATTTTGTCAACTCCCTGATTTAGTAAAAATTTAGGCAGCACTCCCTTTAAAAAAGAAGTCTTTCCAATTTTTTACTAAGTCAGATATGAACTCAGAAGCAAGACTTGAGTTCAACTAAGACAAAATTTAACTACCTCCTTAGATTTGTAGAAATTTCGGCAGCACTCCCTTTGGAAAAGTGCTAATTCAAGATTTATACAAAGCTAAGTTCAAAATCTAAAGTAACTTTGACTCTGAAGTAGCAAAAATTTGGGCAGCATTCCCTTTAGAAAAGGAGGCTTTCCATATTTTTACTAAGCCAAAAAGTCAGACAAACTGAACCTTGAAAAGACAAAATCTGACTAACTCCTTGGTTTTGTATAAATTTCGACAGTGCTTCCCGTAGAGAAAGTAGCTTACCAAGATTTATACGAGGCCAAGTATAATAAAGGATCCCAGAAAATATAGAAATTGACCTAAGTAAAAATAAACTTAGCTCAGAAAATGCATGAATTGAAACTATCTCCTATGCTCAGAAAATGCATGAATTGAAACTATCTCCTATGGCTCTAGCACGTGGGGAGCATCTAAAGCAACTACCTATCAACTGAAAATCAGACTAAGTAGTGATCTCACTAAGTCACATGCAAGGCCAAACCACTAAGGTAAGTACTCTCACCAGCCCAAAGTTAACCTTATCAAACAATAGTTCGTAGTCTTTCAATGATTTATCCCTTTATACCCAGCTTGCATAAGGCATAAAGCTAGACCACCCAAACTTATGGAACATGTCTAGCTCAGCCATTGAATAAACACAAACACAGGGCACACCAACTTTTCTCTTCTTTGGGCACATGACTAGCCTAAGGCCACCCTAGTCGCCCTGACCTGTTTAAGTATCCAAGTTTTATATAATTATCTGCACTTAGTCTTTTGAGGTAGCATATAACTGAACCGATCATCTTTAGCTCAAGATTCAGTCTGACCCTTCTTACCACAAGTTTATTCTTCATTAATACTCTCTTCAGTTTGTGATAAGCTATAGTCAGACCACCCAAACTTATGGAACCCTGTTTGACTAGCCTGTTCATAAGTAGGATAGTAATAAAACATAGTCAACTTATAATGCAAGGAACATTAATGTGGACGAAGCAGAGAAATCAAAATTGCAAAACCACACTGAAGTCCAAGTAGTCAAAGCAAGAGCAGATAGCACAATGGAACCGAGTAACCATCCATTTGAGAACGATACAGAAGAATCGTGAGTCAATGTCCGAGCCCAATCGGGCAACACCAACAACATAACCCAATGTAGCTCTCTCTCTCTTGAATGGCGCCAGGCGCCCTATCTACTCTACAGCCTACAACTACAGCATGGAAGCAACCGGACAACTTAACGACCAGCGAGTGATGACGTCGCCACCAATGTCGACCTCCTCTCCACCAGGTACGTCTCTCTCTTCTCCCTCGCTCTCCCTTGTTATCCCACACAACGCCCTTCACTTCACGAAAAACCACCTTCGCCCTCACCTCCCTCTGCGCCCACAGGCAGCCCGGCTATGGCCGCCAGCGCCCTGCGCCCTACCGCTTAGCGCCAACCTGCCTCACCTCAGCCTAGCGCAACGCAGCACCTCGCAATGCTTCAGCGTGCCGACATTGCTCGCAATGCCCAAGATCCCTGCCCACTCGCCCTTTCTGTCTATATGCCAGTGTTGCGTGTGGGCGGCCTCCCTTGAGCCTGAGCCTGGGCCCCAGTACCTGTACCCAGTTCCAATGCGGTTGGGGCCCACGAAATACAGTTGCGCCTCTTTCACAAGGCCTGCGTCCGGATTCAGCTAGTGGACCGGTTTCCCATTGGCATTTTCGGCCTCTATTTCCAGCATGCAATGTCGGCCTCACGTTTATGTGTCCAGGGCCTAACCAATTCTGGGGCCCTGGTCCTTCTGCATTTGCAGAGATCTGATACTCGGTGCACTCCAACCAATTGGCGTGCGGCAACTGTATGGACCCCACTTCGTGAAATGTTGAACAAAAGGGGTTCTCGTTGATTTGCTGGCCCGCCTTCACTTAGGGCGGGCACGAGGCATGCTGGGGGCCTTAGACCAGAACATATGCATATCGGCAAGGCCCCGTCGAGGGCTCATTCCTCACATTGCATCCCCCTTAGCTTCGAAAGTCCGCCGAGATGCTTACTTCGCAGGTGCCTTCCCTTTTAACTTCCTCTCATATTCTGCCACCACTTGAGGAGCTGTGTCAATCAGTTCCTCTATGGTGAACCATCGATCTTCTTTTGGATCCGTATGATGCCTGAATCTGACGCGATATTCTCTTTTGGGTTTGGGAGGTCTTCCTTGACCCAGTGGCTTTGGAACAGGCATATCTCTGTCATCCACAATGTCGTCGATGTCCACTTGGCCATCCATGGTTGGGGGCAGCATCGATCTCCTTGAAGGGCATTGATCTGTCTCAACGAAAGGTGCAAGCTTTGAGGCACGAAAGACAGGGTGAGTGCGCAGGTGTCCAGGGATATAGATAACATAGGTAGGACCATCCATCTCATCCCCAACTATGTCCAGGACTTCCCAGGGACCAAAATACTGAGGCATTAGTTTTCGAGATATTTCGAATTCCTGTCCTAGCTCACTAGCCTTGACCCAGACACGTTCCCCTACCTGAAAAATGAGGACTGTTGACGATGTTTGTTCTCAGAAGCAATCATAGCTTGCTGAGATTTCCTGATGTGCTCGACAACTTGCTGTAGCAACTTCTCATACTGCACACCATATTCAAGTGTACCCGAAGTTGCAGACGGTCGGTTGTCAGGTAGAAGGAAGTCCAGAGCGGATCTAGGCTTCCATCCAAAGTGCAGTTGGTTAGGACTGACGCCGGTAGTGTACAACGTTGTCGTACAGGCTGGCGATGAGAGGCAATTTCTCATCCCAGTCATCCTGGTTGGGCTTGATGTAATGCCTCAGCAGGTGTTGTACAACTCTGTTCATCTGCTCGGCCTGTCTGTTGGCTTCGGGATGATTCCCGGAAGTTATCTGAAGTTGACTGCCCAATTGCTCAGTAGTCTTCTTCCACAACTCACTTGTGAAGCGGACATCTCTGTCACTAACGATTGACTTTGGGAGTCCAAATTCATGCACCCAGTTGTCCATAAACAACTTGATGACGTGTTCAGTCCTTGCGGTCCGTGGCATGGCTGTTAGTCTAGCGTACTTGGTGAATCGGTCTATGATGACAAAGATGTGCCTCTTGCCACTCCTACCGGTCACCAGGGTGTCCATGAAATCTATGGAATCACTCTGTCCCGGACCAGCGGGGATAGGTAAGGGCTTCAACAACCCAAGTGGTACTTGAGTTCGCGGCTTGTCCCGCTGACAGACTTGACAGGTCTCCACATACTTCTTTGCATCATCTAGCATTCCAGGCCACCAAAATCGCTGTGTTAGATTGACACTTGTCTTTTTGTAGCCAAAGTGTCCACTTGCTTCATGACATTCCCCTAGAAATAAATTGCGCAAACTCTCTCTAGATGGAACCACTAATTTTTACAGTCGGCCTTATCAAGAAAGAGTAACCCGTTGTCGGGACTGGTGGGTCCCGAATAACTTCCCAGCACTCGAGAGATTGAATACGGACAATTTGTGCACAATAGAGAAATCTGAAGTGAGGAAGCAGGAGAGAGAAAAGACAAAGGATTAGGCCGCAGAAGAGAGTGATGCCCTGAGGAGAGAACCACAGGAGGAAAGAACTATTGGCGACAAGCAAGCGAGCGCAAGAACAGGGGCACATAGAACATAGCAGGAGGCCGGGAGGGCCATCGGAATGTAATAAGACTAAGGCCAAAGGGCCCTTTGAACTAGCAATTGCAGCGCGACAACAATAAGGGAATGAGGAAGTCGAGGGATGGGCGGCCAGAAGCCGCGGGAAGCCAGGAAATGAGGGGCCAACGTGGGGGCCACCTATGGGAGCCTCGGAGCGGAGGCCCACGACCAAAGAGATCGGCACGCACAAGGCGCGAGGAAAGACTAAGGAGAGGGGTTGCTATGGGGTGACAAGACACCCAAGGGGCATGGGACATCTCGGGGAAAGGCACCCGGGGCCACGTGGGACTAAGTAAAAGTAATGGCGTCCAGGGCGAAATATGTCGGGGACCGACAACGGGACTAAGTGTCGGGGACCGCCGACGGGACTAAGTGTCGGGGCTGTCTCTTATACACATCTAGATGTGTATAAGAGACAGCAACGGGACTAAGTGTCGGGGACCGCCGACGGGACTAAGTGTCGGGGAC